GAGTTCTAACAACTGTGACGACGCGATAATCCATTATAATATCGCAATTTGCATTAAAAACGAGCTATGTGTGTGTTACAACTAGGCTAACACGTGTGCGCACATGTGATGAGCTGGCGTTCCCACAGGGAAGGACGCAAGTGTAGGTGTATCAACAAGTATAACTGCAGAATAAGTTAGGACATCATACAGCAGTACCTTTCCATCGTCAAGTCCAACGACAGAAGCAACAACTCGGCACATGTTGTCGGGCAACGAATCGTGACGCTGTAGATGGACGACCTCAGGCTCGAATGTCAGCCAATTTGCAATTGGATTCGTTGGCTGTGACGTTGCAGGATCTTGCTGCCGAGCTTTACTACGCTGCGATGCACGCAGATGCTGCGACATCGCCGCCATCGCGTGCTGGCCCACGTCTCTCTGCGAAGAAGCGACTTGTGCCGTCAATGGCAACGTCCGTCGCACTGCCATTCAAGACGCGGACGACGCGAGGACACTTCTGTGGCGGCGTACACCACAAAGAATACACAAAAGCCGCCTAGAAACCATCAACTTTACGGTGACACTGCATTCTTCATGCCGGAAAGCTTGGTCTACAGTCGAGAGGATGATGGTTCATCCGTGCCGCAAGAGAGGTGATGGTACCTGTATCGAGTGTAGGGATCGGTTGTAAAGAGGCCGAGCGCGCGGCCCCGGTGGTAAATTTTTGTCGAGTCCTTGATCAGCCCAGCCGCTGCGCGCAAGAACTCGATCTCTTGCTCTGAAAACGGCTTCTTCTGTCTCGCATCAGTTGTCGGGGCGGTGTTCTCACTCGACTCGGGCGACGGACGCAGCACTCTACCATATCATAAAGTAATGCAGTGATCATGGCGTGGTTATGTACCGCAATGAGCCGAGATGTTGGCGCGGAGATACTCGCTTGGCCACAGTCCCATGCGGCTGTTCCAGTGCCACCGCTCCTATCGATATAATTCATTGGACAACACGCACCGCGCTCGTACCTTGCAACGTCTTGGGCGTAGCGGTGGGCTTGGACCGCTTGCGTCCGTGCGAAGTGCTACCACAGAAACATACACATTCCTCCATTGATTGGCGTGCATAATCTGAACCTCGCGCTGTCCTGCGACTCGTCATTCGCATCGGGGCTGCGCTTTTTCCGCCGAGGTTTTTGTGTGCTTGTGGTGGCAGGCGTCGCGTCGACGTCGTCATCGGTCGCCAACTCTACGACATCGTGAATGGCGAGGGTGTGCAGAGACTGTGACGCACGCGTAGCTTCCTCGCTGGCATCGCGCCCGGTGGCTTGCTCGGTCCTTGGACTGCTCGCTTCGTTTGACGCCATGGCCAGGTCGCGGGCCAACGCTCTCATCTGGGCATTGAAGTTGTCATCCGCAGTCAATGTCTCGACCACCGCAGGTGGCTCATCATCCACTCGTAGACTGGGAGCCTCGGTGACCACCGCAGGCGGATTCACTTCCGTGAGGAGGCGAAGGTTCGACGCCCAGTGCTCGACGAGCCGACGCCGCATGTACCCATATTCCCATGCAGGTTCGTCGGCGCGCCAGGCTTCAAAGACGTCGACCATCGCCGGTGGGCACGCGTTGCAGAGCAGCGCCATCTTCAGGCGGTCGGCAGCCGCTAGAAGCCGCGCATCAGAGCCATGACTTGGCACAAAGATGACGTCGACGAAGCGTTGGATGTGCTCCTCCAGGCGTGCGAGGCCGTCGGGCAGCGCGTCGTCGTCGGCCAAACGTACGTTTTCCAGGAGCCCAAAGAAGCGGCAGTCGTCCACGAGCACGTGGCCCTTGGCATGAACCTCGGACCAGAGTTCGTACGGCGTCATGCTGTCGTCGAGCTCGTCGCGGAGGTTGGACGAGAGTGCTGAGAGCAGTAAGGTCACAGCCGCTGTCGTGGTGCGAGCTTGAACTGCCGCCGCCTCGGCTTGCATGGCGGCGGCAGCATGGGCAACGATCGCGTGTGCACGCGCCAG